GTCCCAATTTCTCAGACCAGTTATTAAATCTCAATAACAAAATACATTCATTGACGTCATAGAAAAAGTTTACATTAAGCACAAAGTCTTGAATTTTGTGAAAGTACTGCAAGTTTCCAAGTTGTCGCAAACTGTATGGAGAGTTAAATTTGTGAGATCTAAGAACCCCAACTGGTTTCTCTTGATTTAAAGTGAATCAAGTTCGCAAAGTTAATCAAAACCAACACGATCCAAGTCTGCACAAATTTGTGGGAACAGGAGAGACCTGCTGTACTGTGGTTCTTCAGGCCCAGTGTTTGGACACCCCCAATTTAGAGTCTAGCTTTCTCGTTTGTTTTTCTCTTTTTATTCTACAAGACATTATGGGATATAAAAACTCAGACTTGATTAGATAACATTTTTAGAATAAAGTGTTGTGAAGTTCTTACATAACTGCATGCGAGAGGAAAACTAATTATTGCAAATATGAACCACTTTCGTTTTACAAGCAGCACTCCAACCTGGATTATAAATACTAATTAGTAATGTATTACAAGACCTCCACTACTCATGACTAACACTCCATAGGTTTTAAAATAGCCTTTAATCCTAAAAATCAAAGCACTGAATTTCTACTGAACCACTTCTGTGCTTACTAACTACACTCTGAGCACTTCTGTGTCTGAACTATCATAATTATTAATAATATTAATGGGGTACCTAAAAATCACCGTCTTTGAGATTTTGCTAAATTAATATTTTATTAAGATTTGGGCTAATAAATAGCAAGTCTGCTAAATATAGACAAAGACTAATAACAATACAAAATAATCTAAACAAGTACAGCAGTGATTTCTTAAGGCTCTTGATACGGTTATGCACAAATTCCAGTGAAAGATTTATCCTGTCAAAAAAAAACAGTTCCCGGTGCAGGATGTATTTATAATCCTTTATTTAACAAGATAGGTTAATTGAAAAGGTTCTCATTTGACAGATGGGCATTTCCTGGAACATTCAGTGTGAAATATCATACTGAAAGGTTCAATATACCAATATCCCATGCAGAATATGAAACCACAACCCACCAGTCCAAAGTTCCAACAGCTACCCCACAATACAGAAACTGTCAGCACTGTCATGGCAAGGAACAGCATTGAAATAAATGTTACATAAATGAACGCCTGTTCAGACCTCACATTCTGTATGTGTTTGTGCTCAGTTATGATCCAGAATAAATAATTGAGACAGTTAAATAATATGATGTATTTCTGCATACAGATTTGCTTCCATCTGCGCGTTGGGCACAGCATCAACATTTCAATTGAACCTGTCAGTATTACTCGAGAAGTACTGAACACACAGCAAAACCAACATATCAGCCTGGGAGCAAGAGGCAGAGACTGAGCAGGCAGAAAAATGCACACCTGTCTAGGAATGAAGGAGATCAAAATAGCACTGTGCCAAAACTTAACAATAGTCATATTCCTATAAAAACTGTTTATTTTTAAAGTTAAACGAGTTGCATGTGTGTGGGTGGAAGTCTGTATCTGTAGTTTTATGAATCCAGAAACTCTAAACGGCTGTAGATGGCAGTCTCCCAGTAAAATCTGGCTGTCAGTTCCAACGCATCCACTGCCTCCCTCTGTGAGTCTGACACAAGCCAAGTCAGTACCTCACAATTCAATTTCTTTGACTCAAACGTAAGAGAAAACAAGTTACTCCATTTGACAGACATCTTTGCTGGTTAGTCCAGCGCACGCGTCTTAAGGCTAATAAGGTAATGAAAATAAATAAGCTATGAGGAATAATTACGTACAATCATTAGAAGTTCACCGTCATTTCATTATAGACTGCCATACACCAACCCGTCCAAAAACATGTCCCAACTCTAACAGTAACAGATGGACAGAGACAGATAGCTACTGTTGTTATACATCATGTATATAAAGAGCCATTTAACACATTTCCCCATGTTCGGTCCTCCCAGGTGATTCTTTTCTCATTTCTGCTTACATATTGATGGAGCATTTGTTTAATGTTTTCAAACGTATCACATCACAGTTATGCACCCACACCTTCACATGAATGCAATTACAGTATGTGCTTCGCCGTCGCCATCTCTGCATCGCCATGCTTTTATTGAATGAATTATCAGAAGGTGGGCTGATAAAAGTGCAACTTTATTGCCATATTATTGAACCTCTTGCATTTCACATAGAGCACAGCACAACTGCACAGCCTACTAGCAAAGACGGCAATATGGACTGATCAGAAGCGTCGAACAGTTCAGTTTAATGGCTGTTGCCCTGCCCAATTTATGCACAAGTCACTGCATAATCAAATCAACTGCACTATACTGTAGGCTACTGACTCTGACATATTCATAAATATGAAGGCCTGAAAAGTTATCTTCCTGGGCACACTGACGAAAAACAACTAAAAGCCGTAAAATTCTCCCACAGAGAATTTTCCCTAGACGGCTGAAGACATTTTGATTGCTATTCTGAAGTAATGACAAACACCTCCGCATTAGAAAAATGGAAACGCTAACACATTCATGTGAACAAATACAAATATTCATAGAATCTCCCAAATGAATAAAATGCATAAATGTTGAGTATACAAGCAGTTATGCTGGGAACATTTTCAAAAGTATAAAGCAGAGATGTTATTATAACCATGCACTCCTCAAAATACAGCATTTAACACCATTACATAACATACAGTTGCTAAGACAAGCTGACCTCGCCTTCAACTAAGCTCTTAAAAACTAAATATTTATTTAAACAATATATTAATAATAAGGCCCACTGCCCACACAGGATTCCAAAGCCATTTATTTGCAGCTTCATTTATGTTTTTCTACCAAAACAAGATTCTTAGAAAAGTTTAGATATTAATGGGTTAATAATTTGAGTTAAGAATACGTTTTGTTTTTCTATACACAGTGCTGCTATACAAGGTAAAAATAACGCTTTGAGCCTCATCTAAATGTCAGAATACAGATTTACAAACTGAAATTGACCTTCAGCATCTTAGAAACCAGAACATAAAACATCAAGTACCTGTAGTTGAAATCCAAACAAGATGTAAAAAGCTCAGATTGAATAATAAACTCTGTCGAGTTATTTTTACTTCATATAACCCATTCAAGTACTACACAGTAAGTACACATTCCCTCTTTAGGCACTGGCTTGCACATTCGTTAAATTCAATCCCGATTAAGAGACCTTAGTAGGCAATACAATTTTAGAAGATCTGTATTTTCATCCAAATTTGACTAGGCAAAAAAAAGCTATAATAACAAACGTGCCGTTTTTTTTTTAACTGAACCGCGTCGATCACATCTCTAAACACCACCAATAATGCTGTCCGATGTTAAAGTCTTCGCATTCTGAACATCTGCTGTGTTACTGTACTACATACCGTGTACGGATAATGTCCCATTCTAGGCAGTTCTTTGCACGTTCACGTGAAGGATGATGCTCGCGCTGGTCCAGCGTGCATGAGCTCAAATGCGCGCTCCCATAAGGCAAGTCAGGTGCTGTTGTTTTTATCACGGCGCACTGTACCTTTCCAACCAGGAGCTGATGATGACGACGTCTGTTATTGCCACACACCCGCAACTACTGTTAATTCTGGGGGATGGATCTAGGACACGAAAAATAAAGAGCAGCCCCACCTAGGGTACGGTAGTAAATACTGCTACGGGTATATAGGATTTCTGCTTTCAAACAAAGTCTTTAAAGCCGTATATGTTGATTTAGCTCTATAATTAATATGATACTTTAGATATATTTAATTAGATGTTGAGAACCGATGGAAAATGCAAAGTATGATAAAGACAGTAATAATACACTACTGAAACAAAATCACTGTAAATATTATTTAATATTAAGAAATTCAACTAAACATCCGACAGCATAAACAGGTTGTCAGGATAGCCCTGCAGAAAACTAGGCGTGCTTGGTTGAGTCCATAAAACTTAGAAATGGGCAAAAAAAATGCAGAAATCAAGATCATCGTAAACCGAGATTCCCTAAAGTGATATTGTGACGCAGGGTAACTTAAACATTGTTATTCGCGGAACAAAAACAGGAAATCACAAATAATCGTAGCTCGTAAGCGTGGGAATTCATATAATGTCCATATATTTTCCAGATTTCATTGTCATACTGTATAATTTACACACTCGCATGTTAACAGCAAATCATGGTAAATTAATGGTGGGGGGTGCGTGTGTGCTTTCAGCTCGTATTTTATCAGCTGCGATCTTGAATATGACTATTTCAAGTAAAATATATATGTATAGAATGCATTCGCGTCAGTTGGAACCTCATGACACCCTCGTAATCTGACAGAGATGTTGGGTGAACCTTGAATCAATCAATAAGCATGTGCAAACTCACAGAATTAACTACACACAACGTAATAGCATATAGCCAGCCCATCATGCGAGCAGAACTATTCCATTTCTCTTCACTTAAAATCAGAGAGGTCTAGTTGAACCGATTCCATGTTAGAAACCAGCGTTCAAAAAATCTATTTCAGAACCCACACGGCTGCTTTTAGATACAGCTCGACGTTTAAACAGTCCTCAAGAAACCAACAGTTCCGTCTACAGTTCTAAGACGCAAAGAGATCATCTCAACCCCCCCTCCCCCCCTCTCTGTTTACTTCAACTTTGAATTTTATCTGCGCAACATTAGCTGGAATGCGGACATTGAAAAAGCACACAAGAGTGTCAGAGCCATGTGGCAAAAGATCAAAAATCTTCTCTTAGCAACAAAAACATGGCGCAACTTGTGTTCCTAATAACAGAATTCCACCTCTCAAATAATTGTATGGAGACATTTATATATCAGTATAAAATCAGTCGAATAAACTAAGTGGCGAATCCGCTTGAATATTGTAGCCTGTTATTAAATAAAAAAAGACAGGTACACTGCACCGACCTGCCGAGATTCATAACATAAACACTCTAGCCCACCGGCTTGGATCCTATAAATGACTAAACTTACGTTTCCCTGTTGCGCAGGCATTCCGCTTCCCGGTTCAAATGGAATAAAACCCATGCTCATAAAGTTCATCTTCCACGTTCAAAACATCACAACGGGCAGGTGCAATTCCAGTGATGCGAAGACGGGTATCCCTTTTGATGAGGCGTAACGCGTGGGCTTTTCCTTCGCTCCCGCCTCGCCACGGCCTCCCAGCTCCGCCGTGTGTGCGTGTGTGGGATGTTTGCAGACGACTGCGTAGTTTCGCAGTGTTTTTGTAGCCCAAGGCACACTTCGCTTTTCTATTTGTGCTGTTTCATTTTATCATGTCCATCATGTGACATACAGAGGCCTCTCTATGGAAAGTTAAAGGGCCACCCACGTGACTATGCAGAAACAACCTCAATACAGGACCGGCAGCTGAGCTCAGGCGGTGCAACTATGAAACAATTGCAGCCAGAGTGGTAGTGTGTGAGGCACATAACACGCCCGTATTCTGTATCCATCCCGGTTATGTGAAATCTTTGCTAAAATAAGATTTATTAAGATTTCAATTTATCTTTATATTCAACAACAAATTACAAATGATTATCCCTCATGCTTTTTTCCCAGAAAAAGTAGTTTTAGAATTGTTCCAAATTCCCAAACTGTGATTTTTAAACTTTTTTTTTAAACAAATGACTCTAACGTGTAGGTGCTGAAGAAATATGTCAATGTCACTTCCTAACTCTTTTTAACAAGTGATATGAATCGTTTTTTCGCTAGTATTTCTGAGGACGTGTTTGCGTGTATGATGTGAATATCTGCCGAATTTTAGATTACGTAATTCTTACTATTAATACGATGACGCCAGGCGAATGTCGGGATTTAGTCAGTGATTGCATTTGAAACGGGAATTTTTCGTCACGAAGAACATTTTATTCCCGTAGTCCTTGATTCTGTAATTGATAAATTATTTTTTGCATTAAGTGCCGTTTGAAAACAACATTTAAACATTGTGAGATGTACCAGTACATGTTTTAATTTCATTACATTAGCCTGCTTGCATCTTGCGTCTTCAGTTTAACCCGAGCAAATCCTTTGTTAGTAGCCTACATTTGAACTGCCATTTGACACCATTAACTACATTTTTAAACCATTCTATGCGGTCGAATGCAGGTGAGATGGTTTTATATCGTAATCCTGTCTCCAATTAAATATTTTTCAAATGCTTTAAATGAATGTTGGAGAATAATACCTACACGTGCCGTACAAGCCAATAAAAGCTTATTAGGTAGCCGTTGTATTGCAATGCAAAAGAACACCGACAAAGTTGTAAAACAGGAAGCAAGCTAGGGAAACATGCTCTGTTTGAACGCTGTTTTCTATTAAAAACAGAGCGCACCACAGACGCCCACAGAAAGGCATACACCATATAATACAATGCAGCTGTACTTCTCAATCATACGTGTACAAATCCTTGGGTATTTTCCGAAACTGAAATCCACGAGCAAAACAAAAAATAAACGTACCCCCCCCCTCCCCAAAACCAGCAGCATATGAAAACAACACTCAAAGATGTACATTTCCACTTCAAGTAGCTCACAATTGACTAATTCTCAAATTTAATAGAGAAGTCTGGGTCCGTACTGAGAGTGACCACTTGAAAAGAGGTCTTCAAGAAAATGGATGACCAGTGGAGACACATCCGGAGCACACAAATAAACAAGGTACAGAACCTGTAAACTAGGTGTTCAACACTGTAAATGAAGCGTAGCCCTGCACAACATGGTTTCGCCATTCTTCCCCTCATCCTTGAAAAACTGAAGTCTAGTATTCCAACTGTGTAAGCAATACGCCTTCATGTGTCAACTAATGTTTCTACACCGTCTCCAGCTGAAATCAAAGTATCCTTGTTTTCCCCTCACAGCCCAGCTCAGAAACAAACTTAAGGGAGCCAACAGGGTTCTCAGGTGACTCCTGGGTAAAGCCAGCAGTCCTGTGCTCCTCTTGCCCCTCAGTTGTCTTGTCTGACTGCAGAGAGAGTCAAAATGTTCCCAGAACCAGTAACCAGTATTCATGCCAGCAGAGTGAAACCATTCTGTACCTCTGGGGTAGATGAACCTGAAGGGACACATGGCAGAGCTTCTCCAGCAATTTATATGGAACCACCCATGCTGGCAAAAGCTTGGGTGAAAGACTCGTCTTTATATTTGCCAGTTGTCAACCCAACCTTTCTTGCTGTCTGCTAAGGGTTGACTACCTGGCTCCTGATACTCCACTTCCACCACTAGGTCTAAGGAGAATCCGAGATTTCACCACTGTGAACACTTGCAATGCTACTGTATGTTAGTTTGAGTAGCCCCGACAGCTTTCAGACAGATCAGACCCAAGACACTGAGGTCATGAATTTCAGTCAACTAGACCTCGTACAGTATCTACTGAGATGCTTAAATGTTTAGGTGCTTTATTTTGAATTTGGTCATAACTTGTCCAGTTAAGATTTAGAGCAAGTCTTCTGGCTGAGTGAGTATTGATTAGGATTTGACACTGTATCCCACTGACAAAGCAGAGTATATTTAGTCTGTTACCACACTTATTTTGCCAAACACCTGTTTGAAACACATGGCACATGGCACATGGCATGGGCATGTAGAAAGTGGTCACTGTTTCCTTCTCATTGACCCCATCTCCAATCTCCTGCCTTTGAATCTCAAGGACTCAAGGACACAAGACTGTGGTTGTCTCTACTCTTGGTCTCTAGAACTGCCTCAGTCCTCAATAGTTTTTTCCAAGGCTTGAACTTCTAAGATGGGCTATCGACTATCATAGTAGGATTTGGATTTGGATGAGAGAACTTGTCTTAAAGTGTAGAGGAATAAGTAAAGGTTTATTGTCTTAAAGTATGTTGTTGAAGGCCATTTTTGGAAAACATTCAGGGCAAGGCTTGTTTAGATTTCAGGGAGACATTTTTTTTTTCTAGGATAAGAAAAACAAACATGCACAATACAACAAAGAAACATGTGTGGAACTGAAGACAGAAAAGGAGAGGATCTCTCAGAATTTGGAAGTACCCTTGGGGAACTTAATTCTGAGCACTGATTCATGACAGCCTTCTAGAGTTACTGTTTACATAAGTTGAACACAACTACAAATGAAATAGCTAAAAACCAAAGGTGATTGCTAAAGACAGACATACCAGATTAAAGCAAGCATATTGTTTTCTTCATTCCACCATATCGAATTGCTGCCCTTCGTTGCAACTTGATATTGATGGCATTCCAGTTGGACTCAGTTAATTATGATTTTCCTTTACAGCAGTGTTTTCCAAACCTTCAATAATCGCGTACCCCTTTTGAGATTTTTGGGCAAAGGTAATTTGGGGGGTAGTAATAATAATACTATTTTATCGACTAGAGCAGAGCAAATATGGTATTTATTTCTTAATACGTAATATATTATAAACGTTAAACATGTATACTACATGAGAAATAATAGTTAAATAAAAAAACTAAACTAAAATAATGATCAAGTAAAATAATAATTTTGAAATTTTCAATAAAACAAACTGTTTAATGTGAGGGTTGGAACTGCTTGATGAAATTAGTGTGGAGATATCCGGTTCGATATTTGTCATTTTTAGACTTATGCTGGCGTCACACTACACAACGATTTTCAGTTGTAGTTTTCATTTACATAATCTTAAGAAAATCACACAGAATCGTAGAAAGTCGCAGCGTGCGCCCGTTACTGTCCGTTGTGTAGTGTGACACCCCCAGCAACTCAGTCATAGTGCTCTTAACAGCCCCTAAGCTCTCTGCAACTCTTATGACAAAATCAAACCGGTTTGATTTTCTCATAGCGAGTCGCAAGTCGTGGGGGGGGCAGTGAGCCAGATGGGTAATTGTGAGATAATGTGCCTATAATATTACATTATAGCGCAATACTAATTTGTTTATAATATTTGCTTTAAAGGTGTTTTATATTTTTAACTGTGTTTTATATTTTTAACTGTGTTTTATTTTTGTAAATTTGTTCTATATTTATGAAGAAGAATTATATTTTTGAATATGTTTATTTTTCGGAAAACAATGCCTGTGTTAGATTTTTCAAGATTTATTTTTATTTATGCATAACAGAATAACACAAATTACAATACAAACAAGAGTAGATATAACAGTTCAAGACAAAATTACATTTTTCAAGATGTTTACATGCTTCTTCTCCATGTTGTTTGTTACTTTCGTGTGGTGCTCCTCTTCTTAGTCCGGTGTGCTCAGCGTTGATTGGCTGACAAAATGAGGCGATCTCGCAGTACTTTCTCAGTGCAATACGAGATTTTTAACTGTGATGAAAAGTCGTAAGGGAATCGTGTAATTAGTCGCCCACTGCGATTCTTAGTCGTATAATTTGACACCCTCTAGGACAGAAAAGGCAGCGAGATTCAGCAACTGCAGTTGTTAAATTTGATATGCTCTCTGACTAGGAGTCGTGTCAAGTCATGTAGTACGACACCGGCATCAGATGGGGCTCCTCGTCAATCAGACGTTTAGTTTTTTTTGTCTTCATGCCAACAAGTGCATAAAATCCAACTTCGCACAAATACGAAGTAGGAAAGGGCAAAAGATACTTAACATCTTTATCCGACAAAGCTGGATACATAGAACAAACATCCAACCAAAATTGTCAGTGTAGTTTGCTCAAATTATGTTTTCAGGAAGCCGTCTGAAGCCAGTTCCAAGAACTGTTCTTCTGAATGTGAGAGGTTATTTGAGTTTGAACACTGAAAATGAAAGGGTTCCTTATCCTTTCAAAGGTGTGGTCCGATTCAGGGAAATACGAAGATCTTTCTGCAGACTTTTCAAATGTAGCTTCATAGTTTGCAGCACATCACTATCAATTTAATTAGCCAAAGTTATAGCTAATTCATGAAGAGATGGATAGGAATCTAATTCACCACTACTAACATGTTTGTGCCACAGTTCCAATTTTGCGATCATGGCGTTACGTTTGTCTTGAGCATGGAATATAGAAATGTGTTTCCTTTGCAAGGACAGATTGAGATGGTTTAAATGTGCAAAGATATCTGCAATGTATACTAATTTACATAGCCATTTCCAGCCATGTAAAGGTTAAAGGTTTCATCGAGAAATATTCGAAGTTCTTCCTGAAGGTCAAAGGCGATTGAGGACTTTTCCAATCGAAAGTCACCGCACTTCAGTGTGAAAAAGGAGCTGAGTATGATCACTGGCCATCTCGTCAAAAAGCTGAGCAAAAAGCCGGGCATTTAGAGGGCGGCCTTTCACAAAATTTACAATTTTAACGGCTTTATTAAGTACTT